CGGAGGGTGGCCGCTCACCATGCCCGGCAAGCACCAGCAGTTCCAGGAACCCGAGGTCGGCTGCTGCGGGAAATACTTCCTGTTTGGCTTCAACATTGTCTTTTGGGTGAGCACGGGGTCGGCTTCGGGCCCTGTGCTGGGCTGGTGGAAGGAGGTCCAGTCCCCTACTGCGGGAGGCCACTTCCTGCTCCGAGAGCGCGCGGCTCGGACCGTCCCCGTCTCCTTCCTCTCACCCCCCTCCGAGTCCTTGGACCACCCGAGGGAGCCCCGAGAGGCCTGGATTGCTGGGGGGCGGGACCCTCCGCGGCGGGGCTGCGGAGTTTCCCGGTGTGACCCCAAGGCCCAGCGGCGGAAGAAGTGTTTGCCTCCAGACCCCAGGGCCATGCTGTACGTGGGTTGGCCCCTCTCTTGCCCCACCCCCTTATGGGGAGAAGAATCCCTGCCCGGATTTGTCGGAGGGGACACTCTGGCCTGTCCTCCCCTCCTAGCTCCTCCAGCACCGGGGATGGATGCCTCGCCCTAGGCTCCCGCAAAGTGGGGTGGGTCACAGCCCTCTCCCTACTGCAGCGGGTACCAGGAGGCAGGCGGGCAAGGGCAATAGCCGAGTCCTCAGCCGCAGGGTGAGGAATCTCTCCTGTTCGGAGTCCGGGTGCTGTCCCTGGGGAACGGAATGCAGCATTCCACAGCTGACCGAACCCAGGCTTGCCCCTGCTCACAGAAGGGAGCTGCTTGTGCCTCTCCCAGAGTGGCATCTGTGCCCCTGGCCCTGCCGAGTCATCTTTCCTTTCTCCCTCCCCCATCCCATGTCCAAAGCTGCCACCTCTGCAGTCTGTTTCCCAAGCCTTGGGTCAGAATGTCAGGCCTTTTCACTTGTGGTCAGTAGGATTCAGTGGCACCGTCTTTCACCTACATGATGCTGAAGCTTGCCTCTCTGGTGGATGTCCTTCACTGGTGCTCAACTCTGGAGGGTGTGGGCAGTGTGCAGGGAGCACTGGTCAGGATCAGGAGGCCTGGGTATAGGAGGCTTAGCTGGGAGGCCTTAGGCAAGTCGCCTCTCCTTTCTGAGTCTCAGCTTTCCAGCCTAGGAAACTGTGATTTGAAGTTTGCCCCCTAGGTTAAATGAGTTTTAATGAGTTGTATTCTCTCAACTACCTTATTGTTCATATTTTGTAGATGAGGTAACTGATGGGATAGACATAGAAAGGTTAAGGTCATTTATCTATGGTCATATAGCCAACTATGGTGACAGCTGAGTAGCAATAGGTGCAGGTGAGGGAGAGCAGTGAACAAGAGGTAACCCCCAGTGTCAAGAAGGAGAGATAGGAGAGACCCAGCTTTGTTCTAGGGGGCCTGGGCAGGGGATTGAGGATGAGTTGAGCATTTGGATTTTGTGTTAGGGCAGCATAGAGTAGTAAGGGCTTCATGGTGGGATTAATGGTCTGACCTGACTTGTACTGAAGCAGCTGTGTCTGGCTTGGAGGGGCAGGCCCTGGAGGTGGGGAAGACAGAGAGGCGGCCTGGGACATAGCTTCATAGCTGGCAGACCGGAGAGGGGCAGTGGCATTAGGAAAGGTGGAGAAAGCTCCAAGAAGAGCCCAAGGCTGAATTGACAGGACTGGGCCATATGAGGGAGGAGATAGATTTCAGCTTTGGTTCAAGGTGGCCCAAGGGAGATGCCTATGAGAAAAAGGCCCAGAGACTTTTTTCTTTTTTGGCTCTGGTAATGGAACCCAAGGCTTCATGCATACAAGATAAGTGCTTTACCACTGAGCTACATTCCAGCCTTTATGTGTTTTATTTTTAAAATTTTTTGATGTCAAGCAGATCTGGTGTTGCCATGCTTGGAATCTTCTCATGGTTTTTCACTGTTCAGAATACAGCTGATAGCAAGTTGTCATGGCTCATGCCTGTAATCCTAGCAACTCGGGAGGTGGAGTCAGGAGATGTCCTGCCTCAGTAACTTAGCAAGGCCCTATGCAACCTAGTGAGACCATGTCTCAAAAATAAAAAGGACTGAGGATGTACTCACTGGTAAAGTACCCCTGGGTTCAATCCCCAGTACCTACTACTACTAATAGCCCACATTTTTGTTCTGTGGCCTTCAGTGCCCTGTGGCTCTGGCCTTGGCACCCTTCAGCATCACCATACATGATCTTACTCAGGCCTTTGCCAAGCCCTCTGCCTGGAATACTCTCCCCCTTCAAACATCATTCAAACCTCAGCTAATGTGCCCCTGTCTCTCTAGTCATCTAAAGCATGCCCAGAACCCCCAGTCACTCCAGTTTGCATCCCCTGGTCTGATTTTCTTGAAAGGATCTGTGGGTACCTGACATATCTTTGTTTGCTCACGTCTCTTTCTCCTGCATGGCATAAGCTTCATGAGGGCTGAGAGCTTGTCTATTCTGTTGGCGGGTATATTCCCAGCACTTGGAACAGTGCCTGGACACCGAGGTGTTTGCAGCAGGAAGTTTGAACATAGGGATCTGAAACCTGGGAGAAGTTCGTGTGGAGCTCTGGGGATGCCAGTGTTATGGAAGGGTGGGAAATGGGTGTGAGGAGGATGAAGGGTGGAAGGCTAAGGTTGGACTCTTGGGGGCATGGCTGTATGTATGGGGTAGGGGAAGGCAGAGAGTCCTGGGAAGGAGTCTGAGAAGAAGCAGTGGAGGAAGGGGGTTGAGTTAACCAAGGAGTGGTTTAGGAGAGAGAAAGTGTTGGCTGGTCCCCAGTCCAAAAGCTGGGGGCTGGTTAAGTGTGGTGAGGCAGAAGAGGTAATATTTGCTTGCACATCTTTGGACCCAGTGTGGAGGAGGGAAGGAAAGATGTTTCCAGAGAGAGAGAGTACGGTAGTGGGTGGAACCTACTGTCAGAGAAGAGAAGGGTGGTCAGGGATACCTTTGACAGTTTGACAGGCCCTTTGAGAAAATGGAAGCCCACAGAGCAGTGACTGTCTCTGTACTCTCTGGTGGAGTCTCCTGAATCTGGAGGTCCAGGATCAGGCATGACAGAGTGGTTGACCTTAACTTTCAGAGCTCTTTCCAGGGAGGAATTGAGGCAGGTGGTGGGAAAGATGAGGGTGGTGCCAGGGGCTGTCTAGGTGGACATAGCTGGTATTAAGAAGACCCAGGCAGAGCTGTGGTGAGATGTTTCCTAGGGGTAGGCTGGGGCCCCTTAGCAGGACCCTACTCTGCACTGAGATTCCTCATCATTCAGGGGTCACTGATTGTGAGTTTTGGACGCTCTCATCATAAGATGCTGGGGTGTAGTTTGGTGCTAGAGAGCTTGCTCAGTATGTGCAAGACCCTGGGGTCAATCCCCAGCACTGCCAAAAGCAACAATAAAAAACCCATGATGGGAGATGACCTGGAAGCTATGGAGGAGGGTCAGATGGCAGTCGCAGGGCTGCAGGGCTGCAGGAGGGCTGGGTTTGGGAATGGGCAGAGAGGAGGCTAGTGGGGTGGCGCTGCAGCATCGGCCTGGGATAGGAGCAGGGGCTCAGTAAGCTGCTCTTGCTTCTGGGCAGAAGCATATGTTCTACTTTGAAGTTCCAGGAAGGGACTCCTGAGGTCCTTCTTGAGGCTATGGGTGGCTTCAATCCTTCACACTGTCCTGTAGGGAAGAAACACTGAGATGTGGCCTTGGGAAGGTGGACAGGACTCTGGATTCCATTCACAGCCTGAGTCCCTCTTTCTCCCCTGGCTTCCTAAAGGCCCCTGAGTACTAGGGAAGGATGAGTGAGTGACCTGGTGCTAGTGTCCACCCCTGAGCTCTCTACTTTTGGTTTTTGCAGGTGCTGGGAGCCCTGTTCCTGGCCATTGGCCTCTGGGCCTGGGGTGAGAAGGTAAGGAATTGGGGTAAGGTTTGGGACTGCCCTTGGGGTGAGGCTGTGGGAAGACCAGCCTCTCATACCTGCCTCTTCTCCCCCTGCACAGGGAGTTCTCTCCAATATCTCAGCGCTGACAGAT